GCGGGGGGGAATTGCTGTGCCAGAGCTGAGAGATGAGAGAGAATGTGCCTTGTTCCTGGGAACAAAATTCACCCTGGCTGGAGTGAAGAGTGCAGGAGGGAGGAGGCAAGAGGTAGAGGGTGACAGGGCCACCGAAGGGAACGCAGGGCCTTCCAGGCCTCAGTAAGGTTGCATTTAGTATTTTATTCCGGGGCAACAAAAAAACACTGAAGAGGAAGGAAGTGATCAGATGTGGGTGGCTTCCAAATGCTAGTTGCAGTCAAGATTTTGGTGCAACAAAAGGGGGCAAACCAGCCCTGGCCAGCGTTGTTCAGTTGGTTGAGCGTCGTCTGGTGCACCAAGAGGTCGCAGGTTCGATTCCTGGTCAAGACACATGCTCAGGTTACGGGCTCGATCCCTGGTAGGGGGTGTGTGCAGCAGGCAACCAATTGACTTTTCTCTCTCACATTGATGTTTTCCTCTCTCTCTCTCTCCCCCTTCCTCTTTCTCTGAAATCAATTAAAAAAACACATTTTTTTAAAAGGGGGCAAACCAGGCTAGCAGCCCCTTTGCAGAATGACACGTTAACCAGCCATAATTATTACTTGTATACCATCTGTAAATCCAAAATATATGTAGACAACCATCCACCCACGCTCCTTTGCATTTCTGGAGGGTCTTCCTTCCTAGAAGGCAGAGGCTGGCAAGACAGGGAAAAGGTCAGCAAAGAAGACTGTTAGCACGTTGTCCCAACCACGGAAGACAAAATTGGTTTGAGGAGTGTGGAAATGATGGAGGAAAGACATCTCCCAATTCCAGTTTGAAGGTTTGGCTGAAGTCCCAGCCAATGAGCCTGCTGACAACGATGATGCCCAGCTGAGGGAAGTATGCACCAAACCCGAGTAAAGAGCTCTGGATGGCTGGATGAGTGGGTGATTCCTGCTGAGTCTCCCTGGTTTATGGTGTGGATGAAGTAATTATCCAGACAATCTGATCAATGTGGAAAACGTCAGCAATAAAGCCTACTTTGAGAACCAAATGATCCTGCTTGGCTCTCCACATTGATCCAATTAGGTGTGTAATTGTCCTGGGCCTACTTTCACAGCCTCTTTGGGGTCCTAGCCCATGGCTGGTTTGGTTTGCCAAGGAGCTGGGTAAATGGCAACCATTCTCTGACACATCAGCTGCTCTCAGAGCTGGAGTGACAGGCCAGCCCTCCTATGATAAGGGAGCCTGAAGGACAAATGCTGCAGAGACTGTGTATTTTGATTGGTAGAACACTAGACAAAAGGCCACTGGCCAGAGTTCAATGCCTGCATGTGTTTGCTACTAGGTGAACCCAAGGCCGCACTTACCCGCTGAATCTCTGTTTACCTACCTGCCTAACAGTGTAACCACTATTCTCGCTTCTTTACAGAGATATCAGAACATATAATGAGAGCAAACAACATATATTTTTGGAACACCTATCATGTGTCAGAAATTGGCCTACACACTGAAGATAAAGAATTGAGTAAGTCTTTAACAGCTCACAGTTTAATGGAAAGCTAAATAATAAAAGTAAATGATAAATGCAAGGATACCCAAGGAAGAGGGGGCTATTACAGTTTATAAAAAGGTGCCTATCTCACTGTAAGTGGGGCTGAGAAATCAGGGAAGGCTCCTCAGAAGAAATGGTCCCTAAGGAGAGTTTTAAATTATGAGTAGGTGTTAGCCAGTAAAGGAATTGGGAAAGGTCAATCCTGCCTGAGAAAGCTGCATGAATAAAGGCACAGAGAGAGAGTGAAATGGTCAGAGAAATACAGGTGGTCAGTGTGCTGAGTAGGGCATGTCTTACGGAGATGTAGGCCAGGTCTAGGTCATGGGGAGCCTTTAATGCCATTAAGTATGGACTTGATCCTAAGGGCCACAAGTAGACTTTGAAAGATTTCAGGCTAGGGAAAGACAGGCCAGACTTGCATTTTTGATGCCTCCCTCTGGTTGCACAAGGAAAGATGGACTAAAAGGGCAAGGTTGGAGGCAGGAAGCCTAATTAGGAAGCTGTTAACACCTTGCTGAGCAGTCACGATGGAAGTAGCTGGCTGCATGGGAGAGTTCTGGCTCTAAACAGCCAGTTAGGAAGGTGTATATGAACAAGGAAGGACACATGTGTAGAGGAAAACTGAAGGATCGAAGAAAAGGTGTAACTGCTGCCGAGAAGCACAGGATGGAATTCATTAGTGAAATCAGCCAACATTTACCGAGGTCCTACTATGTGCCAGGCACCACTGGCAGTGCCTCAGCCAGTCTTGCTGAGGATTAGGGTTCCTGGAAGCTTAGCGCTCTCTCAAGGCCTGGGTACTTACCCTTTTCTTCCGACAGGAATCACACCTGGTCCAGGAGGACCAGCTGGACAGTTCACAGTCAATAGGCGTCAAGGTGACATCCACACTCCTTGTCTGCCTGCTCTTGGCCAGGCTCCCATTGACCGCGTTTGACTCAAGATAGGGTGGCTTTCCACCTCTGAAAGGTCGTCGTGAGAGAAGAAAGTCAAGTATCAGAAGGGAGTTAAGTACATATGCAACTGCCTATCCACCCGTTAAATAAATAGATATTTGCTCCCCTGTGCAAAGCTATTGGTTTATCATTCAAGTATAGGTTCATATTTATTGAACACCCAGTGAGGGCCTGACATTACGGCTAGCTGTGGTTGAAAGTGTATTGAATTTGGATCAGAAGACAGTCCATCAGATTTCTCAACAGAAACACTGCAGGCCAGAAGGGACTGGCAAGAAATACTCAAAGTGATGCAAAAAGCAAGGACCTGCAACCAAGAGGACTCTACCCAGCAAAGCTATCATTTAGAATCAAAGGACAGATAAAGAGCTTCACAGATAAGAAAAAGCTAAAGAAGTTCATCACCACCAGACCAGTATTAATTAAAATGTTAAGGGGTCTTCTTTAAGAAGAAAAAGAAAGATTAAAAATATGAACAATAAAAAAAAATATATGAACAATAAAATGGCAATAAATGCATATCTATCAACAATTGCATCTAAAAACCCCCAAAATAAATAAACAAGGAGAGCAGAAACAGAGCCATAGATACAGAGAACATTTTGCTGGTTGCCAGATGGGGGTGGGGTGGGGGGTGGGCAAAAAAGGTGAAGGGATTGAGAAGCACAAATTAGTTGTTATGGAATTGTCATGGGGATGTGAAGTACAGCACAGGGAATATAGTCAATAATATTCTAATAACTATGTATGGTGTCAGATGGGCGAGAGATTTTTCAGGATGACCAATCAGTAAGTTACATAATGTCTAATCACTGGGGTGTACACCTGAAACTAATCTAATAATGTGTGCCAACTGTAATTAAAAATAAAAAATGATTAAAAAACCCACTAACCTTAATCATCAGGAACACCTAGGACCTTATATACCAGGTATGGCAAAAGTAGGTTTCCAGTTGTTCTTGTGGAAAATAATACAATCATTAATAATAATACAAGAATAAACTCTGTTTTGCATACTCACAACTGGAAACCTACTTTTGCCCCACCCTGTATTTCCATCAAAATAGGTTATTTTATATTTAATGTAAGTTTAGCCAAATAAATACATAATAAAATATGTATAACTAAATGTGAGATAAGCCATTTGAGACAGGGACAAAATCCTGTCTTTTAATTTTCCATTCAGAAGAAATTGTTCTCGAATAAAGGAAGCAGAGAAACCTGTTACAGATCCGTTTCTTAGGCAAAAGGGGAATACTAGGAATTAAACTTTCAGGAACATTTTGTCTCCTTCAACCTGCCCTCATCCTTCTTAATGTATCACCACAACCATATACTTCTTAATGTTTTAAAAAGACACATTTATAGTATGAAATAGAAAAAAAAATAACCTTTTTAAGATTGCTAGGCTATATAAGCTTCCATATGATAACTTTAGTTTAAGCTCATGACTTCTCTCAGAGCTCAATGGACAAAATAATTTGCTCTCCATTGCTTTTGTCAGTACATGGAATAGAACTCTCCAGTGCAGACCAGTAAACACCTATGGGCAGTTCTATAAATTTGAAACATTTCCACAACTAGTGGCTTCAGCTAACTTAGCTGCTTTGCTCATCACCTTACGATGAAACATTCTAAGTAACTGTAGGATTTAAGGAACTAGGTGTTTGCCAATTATGCATGAAATACTTCTCTTTCTCTTTTCCAGTTCTGAAGCCATGTCTATTTAAAACAAATTTCAAGTATTCATGAGTTCCTACTTAAAAAAAAAGAAAGAAGAGAGTTCATCAGCAGCTGGGTCATCTTAGTCTGGTTTTACAACCTGTGTAAGCTTCACCTTTCTCACATATGTAATGAGATAATCATGCCCAGCTCACAAGGCTATTTCTAGGTTCAAATAAAATGTATGTGAAAGCACTGTCTCAACTCCAAAGTGCTATGTATAACCATGGCTGGATGTATATGATCTTAAGCAATTCTTTCCCACATCTGAGCATCTGTTTTTTACCACCAGAAAGTGAGAGATTTAGATTGGATAGTCTTTAGGGTGCCTCTCACTTTAAAGGTCTATGATCCTGGCTGGTGTGGCTCAGTGGCTGAGCATCAACCTATGATCCAGGAGGTCGTGGTTCGATCCTTGGTCACGGCACATGCCCAAGTTTCGGGCTCGATAGCCAGCAGTGGGTGAGCAGGAGGCAGCCGATCAATGACTCTCTCTCATCATTGATGTTTCTCTCTCTCTCTCCTGTTCCCTTCCTCTCTCGGAAATCAATAAAGATATATTTAAAAAAAAAAAAAAAAAAGTCTATGAAATTTGCTGAGAAAAAGCCATAGGGGATACAGAGAACTCTACCGCCAGGTTCTGCCTTCTGGAACTCATGGCTTGTCTTAGGATAGGAAGAGAAATGCGTCTTATGTCATAGCTCCTCCAGAATTCACCCAGCAGGCAAGGTTTCTAGGCATACGGGCTCCACGGCCAGAGCTGTGCTTGGGGACATCACTGTGCCGCAGGGTGGAGGCTGCACAGGGCTGGGGAGAGCCTGGAGGCAGGAAAGGCAGGTGGGTGGCTGGTGCCGTCGACCCAGGGGGTGACGTGAGCCTGAAGTATGGGAGCGTCAGGGCAGAGAGCAGGGGGAGGGCAGGCGTGTGAGACACGTCGCGGTGGAATGGACGGGCGGTGCTGGGTAATCGGACGGGCTGTGGGTTGGAGAGAGGAGGGGGTTTAGGTCGATGCTGGTTTTCCATCTGAGTGTGCGGGTGGGTGGGGAACACAGAGCAAAGGAGCTGATCGGGGAAGATGGTGTTGGAGCACGCTGAGGCCCAGGTGCCCACGGGACGCCTGTGTGGACTCATTCAGCACATGGCTCCTACGTGGTTTTCGAACTCAGGAGAGAGATACGCGCTGCAGACACAGCGCAGATCTGCCCATGGAGAGCTGTGAGAGAGGCTGTGACTGTCCTTGCGAGGAGGATCCGGTCAAGGGTAAGCTCTTGGGGAGCGTCCACACCACCAGGAGGCCAGGAGCGACTGTGCCCGGCCAGTCCAGGTGTGGAGAGTGTGCAGAGCTGATGCGGATGGGGGCAGCCTGGGGGGTGAAGGGGGACAGGCAGACACATCTACAGAGCAGTCAAGCAGTGTGAGGCCTGAAATATGCCTAGAAGATAAGGCCATGCTTTTTGCTACGTTCCTGACACAGGGTGGGACATTCAGTTGAAGAGTGAATGAGTGATCATGGGACTTGATCTGACGAGGCCACCCGTTTCCCCACGTAATATGATGGGTATAGTACAAATTTTATTTCTCTTCCATCTGAAAGAGCGTATAGCACTGTTAAATTCTTTCTAATCGATGTTCCTTTTCAAGGCAAAAAAGGAAAAAAAGGTGAAGAGAAGCGGGAGAGTACTAGGATGAGCGCTCAGGGCGCATCAAAGCGTGTGAGAGGTGTTTGGGGCATGTGGTTGCATTGGGTTCTGACAGCGGTGCCACGAGGCAGCTGTGGGCACTGCCCACGGGGCCGGGAGGAGACGGCCTAGAGCCCTGCAGCTGGTCCGCGGCGGCCGTGGGCTCTGCACCCAGGTTTGCTGACTCTGGAGCCTGCGCCGTGCGCATTACCCCGCGGCCTAGAAGGGAGCGGGCCAGCCTCCACGCCACCAGCCCCTCCTGTCTCCGTGCCTCTCCTCCGTGTCCAAGATTGAGTCATTAGGAAGAGACTCACATCGTTTCCACCGTCTCAGATACACAGTATATCACTCCAGACAAGGTCATTAACCAATACATCCTCACTTGGCAAAAGTCCTAAAGAGAGGATAATATTAACTACAGCGAAATCCATCTCCAGGACCACCCCGGAGACCAGCAAAAATCAATTGCCTAGTAAAGTTGGATCTTTAAGGAAAGGTCAAAGACTCTCCTGGAAACCACAGGTGGGTGCTTTAAAACAGTAACTTGGAGCGGGATGCTGCACACCAGAGGGGGGGGCGGGCACTTCCGATGTACTCTTTCTATTAATTTGCAGGTTTGACAAAACAATATTGTCTGTGATTTGGCTGCTCCCAAGCATGTATTTGACAGCGCAGCAGGGTCTCCTCTTCCTGTTTCAACTAAGAAACAGTTACATGGTGTTTTTAGCAACCATCAACCCAATTTCAGACCGCAGTTGAGACTGAGTTGCTAAGTAATGTGCACACACGCTATTAAGAGTCACAATTATTTCCTCCTCTGAGATTTGAAAGCCTGTTAATGGGCAAGATGATCGCTTATAGAAGGAACTTGGTAAAAAGTAGTTATAGCCAGCAGATCTCTCATTTTTGCACCCAATTTTCATTATGGAGGTGGCAATCTAAGAAGTAATCAGCTGAATAGATAGCAAGTTTGTAAATTACCCTGGGTGAGATGTGTGCGGTTTATGAGTGCTACAGAATGCAAATCGGAAAGAAAGGCTAGCATTAAATGGCATCTTTAATTCCCGGGAATAGCGTGGAGCCCAAGAAAGGGCAGGGCCAATCGGGGGCTCAGCATATGGTTACAGCACAGGCTGTCACGCCTCTGCGTTTCTACAGAAACAAACTGCATGGACGTTCAGACCAACCGCCCTGACTTCTGCCATCAAAATCCTCGGTGTTTTTAATGCTGAGAAATTAGACATGCTCGGAGAAGCACAGAAAACAAAGTAATAGACACTCATGTACTCACACGCCAGGACTAGCCATTGCTAACATTTGCGTATACTTCAAGTTTTTGAAAAATAAAAAATAACCTTATAACTCTGACATCTGGGTTTTACACCTGCTCCAGTTCCATTTCCCCTTCTTCTCTGAAGAGGAAAATACTGTCATGAACTTGGTATGTATCTTTCCAGTCTTTTAAATATTATTTATATACATGTACACACACATATTTATATATGTACACAATCCGTAGTTTTGCTTTTGTGTACTTTATTCATACTGTACGTATTATTCTGCATCTTGCTGTGGTCAGTCAAAATTGTGTTTCTGAGGCCTATCCACATTCATTCATAGAAACCTAGTTCCTTCCTCTTACCTAGATGCTCCATCAGAGGACATACATAAGGACATTTATGTTTTTCCAATGTTTTGCAATTGCAAGTAATGCTCCAGTAACACCATCTACACGTCCTTGGAACATATCCATCCACATAAATACTGGCCTCTCCTCGAGGTGCGTGGACTGCTGTGGCAGCATTAGGACATATGTCACTGGGTCCCCGTCTCCTACACTCTTTCTATCGGGAGTCTCTGATCAAAACAAAGGTGGATCCACCAGGTACAGCGGGGATTAGCTCAGCAGTAAATTGCGCCATCGGCGTACACGGATGGTGCGCATCGACGTGCTTGGGCATTCTGTAGAAATGTCCTGACACAACAACTCACTTGTCACACCCAGTTGGTTAGGCAGCTGCATCCCCTCTTTGCAAATAGTATCGCTCCTCTTTGCTGGGAGGGGCAGCTTCGGGGCGGCAGATTTTCAATTTCTCTTCCCTTTGCCGTTTGCTGTTGTAGACATGAAATTTAAAGCAACATCTCAAGGCAACAAACGTGTGGCCCAGAGAAAGAGAGCTGGCACAGGAGTCCAGCCAGCCGGATACGCACGCTCGTGGGAGAGGGGCAATGCACGCGTGAGACGCGGGCCTGCGCCCCGGCTCTGGGGCCAGGAAACACCTGCTTCAGTCTGTGTTCCCTTAGTAGTAAGTGAGTAGCCTGGGGACAGTTACAGCCTCTCTCCAAGGCCCAGGTTTTTCTCTCTGCTGCATTTTCAGCTCCAGACGGAAGGCTACTCCTCCACCTCATGCGGGGAAATCCAATACCCGCAGGCCGTGTTCAGCGCCGCCCGTGGGAACCGGGGTAGCGGCCAGAGCACTACACCCAGACTCAGGTGAGGTTTGGACACCCACGAAACCTGAGTGACTCTCTCCTCTGTTACCCCCAGGCCACTCTTCCCCAGGGCGAGTGGGAGAGAGCCCCAGCTCACGACGAAGACCAGCCAAGGTGGCCCGACCTGCCCTCTCTCCACCCACCCGCACCTCCACTTCCCACGGCAGAGTGAACAGAGCGAGCGCCCCAAGATATGTCAATATGATCGGGCCTCTCCTTTGCTTACAATGCTTCAATGTTTTCCCAGCGCCTCGCAGGGTGGGGAACCTTTTTTCTGCCAAGGGCCATTTGGATATTTATAACATCATTCACGGGCCATGCAAAATTATCAGCTTAAAAATTAGCTATGAGAAAAGCTCCTAGATTTATTGAATTTTGAGTCCTACCTGCGGTTGCCTTAGTAGGGCCAGACCAAATGATTTTGTGGGCTGTATATGGACCCCGGGCAGGATTTTCCCCCACCCCTCGCCTAGAGGATACGTTGCAAGCTCCTTTTATTTATTGAATTTATTGGGGTGACACTGGTTAATAAATTATATAGATTTCAGGTGTACAGTTCTATAACGCATCATCTGTATATTGTATTGTGTGTTCACCCCAAGTCAAGTCTCCTTCCGTCACCATTTATGCCCCTGTACCCTCTTCTATTAGGTGCAAGCTTCTTAACTGTCACTCTCGTGCCCCCTCACCTCCGCCCACGATCCGACTCCTGCTCCATCTCATTTCTGGTCACTCCCCGCCTAGGCCTGTGCTCAAGGCTACTGCGGTAGACTTGCAGCTTCAGGAACAAGCCAGGCTATCTCATTTCCATGCCTTTATCTGGGCTGCTCCCTGTGCCTGGAACACCCTTACTTCCCTTGGCCATTCAGCAAACACCGTTTCAGAGGTAAAGATTCAGCTCCAGCATCCCCCCTTCTAGAAGCTTTTCCAGATCCCTTGTGCAGTAGAGCTGATCACTCCCTCTCTCATTTCCCACCTGCCACGGCACCATCTCTTGCAACAGTACACAGTGTGCACCCATGTGTGGGCTTTCCCCACCGGAGCACGAGCTCTTTGTGTCCTATTTGTCCCTCTGTCCTCAGAGCTGACAGGGGGCCTTGCACAGGGGTTGGTGCTGTGGGTAGGGTTGCCGTGATCCCTTCAAACCCTCCATTCTATGACACATTTCCTTGGATTCCAGATACTTCTTTGTGTACACATGGGACACACAAGGCAGGCCTTGGCAGCTTGATTTTTTCCTTTGGGCCAAGTTGAAATTCTTGATAATCACAAGAGCTATTATCTACTGAGGGCCCAACAGGTAGTAAATACTCATCATGGTGGTCTCAGGGTGGTGCCCAAGGGGGCTGAGTGCTCAGCAGAGCCGAGGCCAAGAGTGGGTTCAACGGGTACTAGGGGCTCCTCACAGTAAGTGAGAGGCTGTGCTCAGAGAGCATTGACAGAATGCGCCAGGAGGACCACGAACTGCCAAGTCACTGGCACTTTTTCACTGGAGCCCAAGTTTGAGCTTTGACTGAGGTTAAGTTTGAACTTGTTCTCAGATATTTCCTTTAGCCTGTTTTGCATCTTACTAATGGAAACAAAAGGGATGAAATAAATCATTTAGCACTTAATTGCTGAGAACATCTGGAATGTGTGTGTATGTGCGTGTAAGAAAGAGGGAGCAAGCAATAGAGTGAAAAAAACCCAAATTTGAGTTGATGAGCTGGTAGAGTAGGTCACTCTCATACAGTAACGTCATTGGTAGGAAATGGCTCTTTTTTTTCCATACATAACAAACCTTCTTTTGCATAACAAATCACACCGAGGCTTTGTTCAGAATACAAAACAAGTACCCTATTCTTCTTAGCATGACAAAGTACATTTAAACATGTCAGTTTCTTACGGGAACTTTTGTTGAAGTCAGCCGCTTGCTTTCACAATAATTTGAAGACAGCTGTTGATACTATTTTATCAGTTGCATGCAAATTGCTCCAAGAGATGTTCCTCATTCAATAGGTATGCGACAAAGACGGTCAGCATTATGTGGCTTTACATTCCCTGTCACATTAACGATCAGGGAATCATTTGTAACTGTCACTTACCTGGAGCCAGGCAAACTGAGACAACCCAGGGCAGCACAGAGAAGAAAGAGCTCTGCCAGCGCCCTCCAAGCCCATGCCCAGGATGTCTTCATTTTCTCTCTGTGACGGGGGTCTGGCTGAGGCACCTAGATCCATGAAAAGCCTGCCCAGAGAGTGCCACCGTCAGCTTCTGTCCCCACAGAGCAAACAGTTCAGCAAAGTAAACACAACCAGTGACAGGAAACCCCTTAGACTTTGCACAGACAGAACATTTCCCCTTAACCCTGGAAAGCAATGGCAATGACAAAAAACTCTGCAGCAGCTTGGTTTTTATTCATATATAACGGACTTTTATGTGAGCAGCCGAGAGGACAGGCTGTTAGTGGGGCAGTGAGGACTGTGGGCTCTAAGTCCAGGCTGCCTGGGCTCAAATCCTTTATTTTTTATAAAAGTTTTTTCAATTACAGTTTACATTCAATGCTATTTTGTATTAGTTTCAGGTGTACAGCATAGTGGTTAGATGATCATATACTTCACAAATCATTCCCCTGATATTTCCAGTACCCACCTGGCACTGTACATAGGTATTACATTATTGACTATATTTCCTATGCTGTACTTTACATGCCCATGACTATTTCGTAACTTCCAATTTAAAGAAAATGTCACACGAAGGCTCTCTTGAAATGGCATAATCCAAGCAAATGCTCACCTCAGTACCTCTTGAAGTAATTGCCTGTGACCAGATCTGGGATGGCTGCCTTCCCATTTTCATTCCAATGTGGACACAGCATGACAGTCCCGATTCCCAGCTTGGAGGCAGTACCTACCTGCCTGTGTGAGGGGTACAGGAGTCTGGTGTGAAAGAAGCAGGGTGTGAACACGTGGGCAGTGTGCATATGGCTGAGGCTCTCAAAAGAAGCTCCCTAAAAACCGTCACTAATTCCTCAGAATCAGCAAATTAAAGTCCAAACTGCACTCACCTGCATTTATGACACTGATCCGCAGCCCATAAAGGGCTGTGTGAATGTGGCAGGTGGTCGTGGGAGAGGAACCTCGAAAGGGAGAGCAGCAGGTAACTGGAAGGTGGGCTGGAAAAAGAACACAGTCTGGATTTAAATTCCTTAAGCAGGCTATCTAATTTCTGTAAGACTCCGTTTTCCCATCTGTAAAATAATACCCACTTAATACCCAGTTCATAAGGTGATTCTGAGGTCTGACTATATAAAACATCAAGCCCTTATTTCCTGACATAGGTTGGCATGCTCTTGAGTGCCAGCCTGCTCCCCACCTGGCCATGTCTGCCAGGGCACCGGGCTGTGTTGGGAGGGGGTGGATGGAAAGTCACAGAGGGCAGGGGTCCCTTCACTTGAATTGTGCCAGAGCCCAGAACACAAGGTCTGCTGTCAGACCACCCTGTGTGCACTCCACTTATCATCAGCCCCAGCACAAGGCACCATCTCACTGTTGTTCCAAAAGATGCAGTGACCTGAACTTTGACCCAACTGACTGCAGTAGTTAATCATTTGTAAACAAGCAGAAAATTGCATTTGAAGGATTCATGACCTCTCTCATGCCTGCCTGCATGTAAGAGAAGCCACGTCCTTCCAAGATAGGGCTCCCCTTCCTCCTCCTCAACCTGATAGCCTCGTGGAGGAACCTGCAGATTTTAGAGGCAGCTGCATGAATGAATCGTGTGCTCTCTCACCTCCTGATATTTTGTTCATGCTGTCCCTCCTGTCCAAAGTATGTGCCAATTAGCTAAATATGACTCATCACTTATATTTCATACTAATGTCACTTTTCACAAGAATGCCTTCCCAATTGGCTCTCCTGGTTCTTTGGTTCTGGGCTCCAGTAGGTCTCCTGGAAGTCCAACCTCATAGCGCCCCTGGTGGTTTCAAGTGCCACTCACCTGAGGTTATGCCAGGAGGATGGCAGCCTCAGGGTGCAGTGTGAATACACATATTTTTAAAGAACAGTTTTTAGCGGTTTAGTGGGTTTTCCATACATCATCTTGTTTGATCTTGACAATAATCCAACAAACGAAGTACCGTCTTCCATGCCTCTGAGATGGGGTTTCACAACTGGCTCCACAGCCTCTAAGGAGGAAATCGATGGTCAGGTACAAGGTTTGTTTGTTTCACTCCTAAACACTTCTTCTGTATTCCAAGATATTACCTCCTCTTAGGAAGTTCCAGGACTGATTTAGATCTAGCACAATCTCACCACTCCTCTGGTCTAGCTGCTCTCACTAAAGGCTGCAGCTCTCTTCCCTGACTATAAGAGAGCTTTTAAAAATGACCATGTATCTCTAGCCCTTTAAATTGTATATAAGAATTAGTAGCTCTAGGTCAATGGATTGTCTAATAGTTTGTTGTCTCTCTAGCCTTTGATAACTAATTTTCTAGTCTGTACCCAGTTCCATAAACATACAATCAATGCCACAAAGTTTAGGTTTTTGTTATGGCAACACTTCATACTTGGTACCTAATTTTGTATTAGTTAGATTTGCTGCATAACAAATGATCCTCAAACTTAGTAGCTTCAAACAATAGTCATTTTTTAACTCACAATTCACTGGGTCAGAAAGTAGGTCTGGGCTAAGCTGGGTGGTTGTGCCAGTCTTCCCTGGGTTCACTCATGCAATCTCAGCCAACTGGTGGGTAGGCAGGGAGGTGGTTGATACAGGATGGCCATACCTGCCTGAGGATGCATTCTGTCTGTCTGTAAGTGCTGGCTGTTGGCTGAAGCAAAGAGATAAGTGGGCCACATGTCTCCAAACAGACTAACTCAGGCTCCTTCACCATGATCTTATGGTTCCAAAAGCAGCAAGAAAGGACAGGCCCCAATAACAAGTGCTTTTTAAGCCTCTGCTTGCATTAAGTTTCTTGATGTTTTGTTGGCCAAACCAATGGCCAAGCCCACATTCAACAGATGGAGACATACATCATACCTGTTGAAAGGAGAAAAAGCAGAGTCACTTTGCAAAGGGGTGCACATACAAGTTGAAAGGAATTTTGCATTTTACCAGATATGTGCTATTTTCATGCTGAAGCAGTTCAAAGCCAGTATGCCTTCTTCATTTCTCTCTTCTCCTCTCCTGGTAATTAGGAAGCGTGCATCTAGATAACATTGTCTTATGGCGGAAGGAGCCTACAGCCCTGACTCCCTGGATGGAACACAGCCCCTGTTGACCCTCAGAGAACTTTGTATGAGTGAGAATTAAACTTTTGCTGTGCTTGAGATTTGGGGGTTTATATGTTACTGCAGCAACAGCTACCTAATCCTGACTGACACACTCTTATGTTACATACAAAATTTGGTGTTTATGCACATTTTTTTTCTGGGGAATATGTCCATAGCTTTCTTCAGATTCTTGAAAGGATTGGAGATTCAAAAGAAGTCAAAACAAAACAAAGCTAAAAGGAAAAATTCCCTCAAGAGATATAACATTTTTAGCTCACAAACTTATCTGTAGTCCCTTTGAAGGTAGTGGGAGTAGCCTGAAGTATTGGGGCATTAGACAAACCTAGATTAGCATTTCATTTCTCTCATTTATTAATTTATATCCTGGACAAATCCCTGAAATCCTCAGAGCAGTGGTTTCTCTAGTTTAAAATGCAGGCTTATTGAAATGTGTCAGTAATCATTTATTGAGAGCCTACTAGATCCCAGACACAATGCTAGGTGAGTGGGTATAAAGAGGAATACGTCATAGACCTTATAAGAGCTGACAACCTGATGAGAGGGATGGACATAGTAATACATCGGGACAACACAGTGTGAGTGTGATGAGTTCAGTCACACAGATCTGCAGGGTATAGTTTGGATGTAGCCAACTGTGTGTGCGCGCGCATGTGTGTGTGTGTGTGTGTGCTCATTGGGGAAGATTTCTCAGAAGCGATGTTAGAGCTGCACTTACGGGGTGAGAAGGAGTGAGCAGGCCAAAGAGCCAAAGGGAGGGCATGTGGCATTGCAGGGGAGAAGCCAGCAAAATCGACACACACGGGTGAGAGATCGTACCGGACTTGTGGGGAACCGGAAGCCATTCTGCTTTGCTGGAGCCCACGTTCAGCATGAGCAGTGGGAAGAAATGAAACTGGGGAGACAGGCAGGAGCCATATCATGGAGGGCCTGATGGGCCGTGCTCATGGTGCAGGATTTATTCTAAGTGCCAGGGGGAGCTGGTGAAGGGGGTTAAAAGGGGAAGGAAGGGGCAGCTTTCTTTGAAAGAGAGATTACTCTTGCTGCCGTGTAGAGAATGGATTAGAGGGAGGCAAATTGGAGCGGAGGGACCAGTTAGGATCCTGTTGTAACAGTCCGCTGAGAGATGATGAAGGCCTGAATTAGGGCAGCGGTAGCAGGCATGGAGAGGAGGCCATAAACATACTATCTGTCAGCTGGTGTTGAGGGGAGTAAATAATGTGCTGTTTGTAAAGGGCTTTGTAAATGGTGCTGCTCTGCACACACATGGGATTATGATGACTGAGATTATGGGTCTCTGGTAAGGAAGGCATATAAATCCCCAGAGCTGAGCTCAGCAGCTGTTCAAAGCAGCACAGCTCCGTACAGCACATGTGACCTTGCGAGTCACCCACAGTCCTGGAGATTGAAGTACAGAGGCTGGTCCACCTCAAGGTGATTCCTTGTCTTCCAGGCCCACCTTCCCAGGATCCTGGAGGGAAGGCACAGCTCGCATGTGGAAGGCCCTTACTGAATGTGTCACACTCCCCAGGTGGGAATGAGCCATCTTCCTAAAGTCTCATCACGGAGAGCATGAGAGACCTGTTAGTTGCTGACCCCCATCTCTGCATCTGGTCTAAGACCTTTCCCTGGGGAGATGGTAACCATACTTTATATTCCATAATGCTCATGTAAATCTGCTTCCAACTGGCTGTGAAGATGAATAAAGAGAACCCGGAACTCTACCCAGTGGGGATCAAAGCTCTGGTATGCTGTACATGGACCAGAAAAGGGAATGGGGCCTTAAGCTGGCCTTTCCTTGTATCATACGATGACCAGTATGCCGATCTTCTCTTCCTTTGCTTATGGCAGGAGATGGCTGAAATAAATAACTTAGATAGGTCATGAGTCCATTGTTCCATAGTCC